TCCTTAGCAGTTTGGCAAACGAATAAAAGTAAGTGAGCGGCTTTATCCAGATGGATAATAAACAATAATAAACAATAAAAAATAATAATAAACAATAATAAATAACAATAAACATCATGCAAGGCAAGATCTCGAGATAAGGCTATTGCAAGTACGACATTTATTTTTTAAAAATACACCAACTCGATCTTCAGACAAGGGAAGTAGAATGGACCCGCCCTGATCGGGTCGAGCCAAGTGCTAAACAAACCAAGAGACAAACATTTCCATCGGCCAGGCTAAAAATGCCCCCAACCATATTGTACGAGTTGTAACATAACGAAAGTATTTTTGAGTAAAAACTTTTGTCAGTCCAGGTCGTGTAGGGAGACGTGAGAGCTGTTAGCGGGAGTTGCCATAATATTTTGGTAATCAGGGCTATGCGAAATTCACTGGCATTGTGAGACCTGCTCATTTTTGCAGAGTAAAGTTGGATTTCGAGGAATCTGTTGTTTTATAATTGTTTAGCTTTTACTTCAACTTCGAGTGAAAGTGTTTGGTGAAAAGATTCGAAGTTCGATCCCACCAGAAGACGACGGCGGATTCCTCTTGACCAGCTGTCGATTGGCTTTACTGGAACCTTCCTGTTGACGTTGTTTCCGAGGCAATCTCCTTCGATCCGATGAAAACGTGCTAGGCTGTTCTCTATCGTATGATGAACATCGTCAGAGCAGGATATCATTCTTAAAACCGTATTCAAGCTAACGAGTCAAGTCATCCCTAAAAAAGTCTTCTTGACTCGTTATCTTGAATTTGGTTGTAAGGATGATATCTTGCTCTGATGATGCTCGTTAAACGACGGACGAAAGCTTAGCAGGTTTTCATCGGAATCGAATAAGATTACATCGGAAACAGCGTCAACAAGAACGTTGCAATAAGGCCAATCGACAGCTGGTGGGATCAACCTTCGAATCCCTTCACCAAACAGTTTCACTCGAAATAGGAGTAAGTTTAACAACTACTCATTTTTTCCTTAAGTCAACGTAAGCCACTTAGAATTATACAAGAATTTGTGACAGTCTAGCAATATACTCTCGTCGAAGACCGGTATAAGGAATTGTAGGAAAAAGCAAAAGGTATCCAACCTCTTGGGGTAAATGGCTAAATAAGGCGAGTGATAAATATAATCAAAAATTAGCCGGAATCCGTCGCAACTTTGTACCAAGGAAGTTGGTTAAAGACATATTTCATTTCTTTGTAACTGTTGAATGGAGGTGATGCATAAATAGGCCTCACACAGTCTCGCAATCTCGGTAACTCCGGGGTTGTAATGCCTAATGCAACTTCATACATACATTCATCAGAATCGAGGGACCTTGTGCCCATTCGCTTAAATCTACAGTTCACTTTTCCCTTCAAACCGAAGTCAAAGATACAACATGAACTTATTAAGAGAACCTTTTAAACCCTGCTCCTATTCATATATGAAAGTATATAAATACATGAAAGTGGTTAAATGAGTGGCAAAAAAAGACAGAATGAAGAGTAAGTAGTACCTTGTAGCGATATACAAATAGTCACATAAAAATGAAATATGAGCTAACAAGCATACTGAATACATTTCAAGATTATTAAGTTAGGATGCTTATGGTTGAGTTTCTAACAATAGAATGACGTAATCTAATTTTACTTAGCATCGTCTCTCAAAAGGGAGTTTCATCCAGGATTCACTGCCCTCACCAACACTGCCTAAAGCGACATAAAAGTGAGTCATCCGGGTCGTGGCGACACGTCAACCCGATGTTGCTACTAATCCTGCTAAATAATATAGCAAATTGACGAATGATTGGTTGATTGTTCATAGAAATTCTTAGGCCTGTCTGAGGAAAAGTGATTTGACCGCGTGTTCACGACTTGATCGTGTCGTCAGGGCGACCGATTACTGATTACAAGACCAATTAATTGAGGGAATAAAAATCAAGAAGAGCAGGTTTCGGGTTAAAAGTGGAGAAATCGTGAGAAAAAGCGTTACAGAGCAGAAGATCTCATACATGTTGGATCGTAGAAACCGGCGATTGGTCCCGCGCAGGCCGGTGAGGGTCCAGTCGCGAATCCCGCCGGCCCAGCGGTCGCAAAGAGTTCGTTTGTCGTGAAAATCAGCTCTCCCGGCGCCACCGACGCCCCGGTCACCGTGACTTCGGTGGTCGGAGTCGCCGTGGAGCTGGCCACGCGTGAGCTGGCCAGATCTGAACCGACCGTAGCTGGTACATATCCACGTGAAAGGCAGCCGGGACCATTCAAGAGGCCCATGACACCATTCATCAAAAGGCCTCGTGCATCCCCCGTCACGACTCCGGCGACTTCGGCAGGCCCGTGTCCGGGTCCGGGCCCGGGACTGGAACTCGGGCAAGCAGCGTTGCCGCCGTTGCCACCGCCGCTGAGGCCGAGGCCCATGGCCAGACTGAGCTCGAGTCCCGTGGCGGGTCCGTTGCCGGAGGCTGCGGAACCCGAGCCCGTGGAGCCATTCGGGGTGCCCGAGAGGGCGGGTCGTTTGGCCGGATGCAGGCCCAGTCCCCCCGTGTGGTGGTGCGCTCCCGGCGGCGCCGACATCACCGACGGGGGTCCCCCGGCGTGGGGTAGGCTGATGTAGCCGCCACCGGCAGCTGCTGCCGCGGCTGCAGCCGCGGCGGCCGCAACTACAGCCGCCTGATTATAGGCGGCCGTTGCCATAGTGATTGCGTGGGGCGGAGGTGCTGGTGTCGGTGCTGGTGGTTGCTGTTGGGCCGAGGCTGACGATGGCCCCCCCGAGACCGGGGACCGGGAGAGGGTGGCGGCCGCGGCCGAGTGGGGAACCGGTTGGCCCAGGCCGGGACTCGATGCGTGGGCCATGCCGGCAGAGGTCAGGAAGGGTGCCAGATTGACGGCACCCTGTGGAGCAGAGGTGAAGGAGAGAGGGGGAAAGGGAGGATGTTGAGCCGAAAAGTTGGGCAAGCCAAACTTCACGAAGGAACAGGAAGAGGACACTGAAGCGATTGAGACCAGAGCAGATAAGCATTTACAGATGATGTGTACAAAAAAAGCATTCCGAAGTTATTAGTGAATTGAGCAAATAGTGCAATAAATACTGTGAAGAGAGGAAATGCGATTGAGGCAAAAGCTGATCCTCAAGTTTTGGCATACTTTATGCCGAGTCATCTATCCACGTGGTATAGAAGTGCCACTGAAAGGGTGAGACTTGGCGTCAATCTATCCTGTGCCAAGAAAAGTTGGGTTTCGACGAATCTATTGGTTTATAATTGTTGAGTCTAAGCTATTTAATGAGGTATAAAGCAGTACGGTTAGCTCAAGTAATGTCAAACTCCAAGCATGTGAGTACGTTAGTCTATGGACGTTCATGCACCATCATGTGTTTGTATGTTTACGAAACTAGCAATAATGACTCAAAGTAATTAGAACAGAAAAAGTAACATCTCTTCTCGGCCATCAAGATTTAATGACCACCATCTACCCTAATTATATATATTTATATTCTAACTGTCACTCCGATTGTGCAAAATCAGCCACACGTTTGGTTACTTTGATGAGCCATTGGCCTTCATGTGAGAGCGAAAGAATGGGTTAAAGCGTACAGTTGGTCAAGAGGAATCCCCCGTCCTCCTCTGTTGGGATCGGCCTCCGAATCTCTTCACCGAACACTTTTCCTCGAAACGGAAGTAAGGTCAATTCATTATGCCTAGAATGGCTGGTGTCTCTCAAAACAAGAAAAGCAAGAGGCCATATCACATATCCTACCTCCAACATGTAGACCAACTACATAAATAGCAGTTGAATTCACCATAGTTCGTTTGAGGTAACGAAAGACTGGTAGTTCAATTTTCCCACAATATCATTATTAGGTCTCATGTTTCCATTGAATTTCACATGACCTTTTTTTCACAAATGGAGTTTTAATCAGTTTCGAACTCGTCATCCCCAGCAGAACTCGAACCTGGATTGTGATTGAACATCATATATTCTCCAAACGATGAACACCTCCACAGACTGCCACGAGTAAACTTAGTTCACAGAGCAGAAGTGAATTTGAAGGAAGTCTCTGCCCTTCGCACATCACATTTCTGTGGTACTTGTTTTCGTATCAAAAGTAGATTGTTGAGACTACTGAATAAAGCTAGTGGTAGTCTCGAAAACCCACTTATAATACAACAGCCTAAATGCTCCAGATACTCGTGATTCCGAAACAAAAACTAGATCATTCTTTGACAGACAAAAGGTAACCTATCGCCTCCAGAAATGTTGAGAGAGTTAGTGTTGCCGTTGACAATGTCACAAATGTGTGGGAAGAAATGAGGCTGAGCTAAGGAAGACAAAGAAATAACACTGTGGATAGAAAAGCAAGAAAAGACCGTAGAAAAATTGAAAATCGGACGTAAATCGGAATTCGGATGTTGCTTTACGGACATATTGCCATGGTTGATACATGAAAAAGAAGTGAGGCTAGTGTCTGCTGTTTATCTGCCTAAATGATCAAACGTATGATCCCACAACTTCTCCCGCATGTGGTATTGTGTAGTGCATGCATGCAACATGAGGGGCATGTGAAATGTGACAGTCCCGACAAGACTAGACGCTATTCAAGCATCCTTCTTGTGAAGAAAACATCTTGGCACAGCGCAACAGTCCTCCTTCGGTTTGTGCGGCAACGAATTCGTGAATTCCCTACAACCAACTTTATCTTAGCAACGAAATGTTTTGCTGCAAGAAATCGCCACGCACTGCAGACAATATCATGGTCTTCTCTGGTTTTCTCTGGCTGCAGATCATCAAGCTTTTGAGCATGAAGATGGAAGTTTAATTGAACGAGGTTTGGAGAATCATCGTGCCAAAATCCGAGTGGATGGACGTCTTCTGCAATGCTTGAGACCGCAAGTGGACGCATGAAAAACGGAAAATCCGTAAGAGTCAATTCGTCGTGAAACCATTCATTTGGAAGGGGAGCTGTGCTGGATCGCCTGGAGTGCAATTTAACACGAAATTGAAGATGCACAACAAATGGGTAAAAAGATGGACGGTATTTCGAGTTGTAGTCTGGAATTGGCCAGCATTTCTTTCAACAGTTGCCTCTTCACGCTGTTGACTTACAGGACAATGTCAATCCGAACGTCATAGTAACGCCAAACGGTTGCAGAACAACAGAAACCGGCCGTCGTCTTCCGGTGAGATCAACCGACAAATTTCTCCATCATGCACATTCATACGAAATGAAAGTCTTAACAAAAATGCAATAATCGAAACCCAGCAACTATTTGTATCTACATACTAACGAATACATAAATATGAAGATAGATGGACTGAAAAACAAAAGAGATTAAGAAATAAACAGATACAGACATACAGTAAAGATGAAAGAAAAGCTCGGCCGTAAATTGAACATTTAATCGGGCTAGATCTACTAATGTACAAGATTAATGTATCATTTAGAAAATGACAGGCGATGTCCATATATGTTTATTTCTTAATCTCTTTGTCTTTTAGTCCATCTATCTTAATATTGATCTATTTGTTAGTATGTAGATGCAAAGCGTAGCTGAATTTCGATGATTGCACTTTTGTTAAGACTTTCATTTCGTATGAATGTGTGTGATGGATAAATTCGTCAGTTGGTCTCACCGAAAGACGACAGCCGGTTTCTGTTGTTCTGCAGCCGTTTGGCGTTACTACGACGTTCGGGTTGACACTGTCCTGTAGGTCAACAGCGTGCAGAGGAAACTGTTGAGAGGAATGCTGGCCAATTCCAGACCCCGACTCCAAAAAGCGTCCATCTTTTTACCCATTTGTGGGTCAATTTTGTGTTGAGCA